CATCTCTTGCTGTTCCTTCTCACGACTGCTTGTGGGTGTCGTTGCTTGCTTCTTCGAGTTCTCCCTCGGCTTGCTCTTCTTTGGGGATGTGAAAAGGGCTATTAAATCATCTAAGTCAATGATACAGGCAGTTGCGAGCTCTTCTCGTTCCTTCACTACAACAGGAGCTTGAAAGTCCTATTCTTCCTCGCTTTCAATACCCTTGTTGATAAAGGTTGCAGCATTTCCCTACTCTCGCCCGAACCAAAAAACTCTAGCAATGTGTCCTACCTTGTCGCAGATGTAGCACCGCCTTCTATGCCTTTTGTTGCTCTCATCTTCATCGCCATCCTCGTCATGATCTTGATGAGCTCCCCTTGGGTGAGCGCTTCTCCATTTTTGTTGCCACTTCCATGACTTTTCCTTTGTTCGCCATCTTCAGTGCCAGCACCATTTCTCATCTGGCTCTTGAACTCTCTTTTATTGCTAAAGAATGCAGGTTCATCATCCTTAATCGAGGCCTTAGACATTTGTTTGTCTAAAGCCTCTTGATTGGCCAATTATATTGTCCAACTCGGTCAAAGTTGGTTCTTTCACCCATCCACGGGTGGCCATAACAGTACCGTTGTTCTCTTGCCATAACCCGTGAATACTACTTCTTCTCATTCTTGCTTTAGAGATGGCATTTTGAGGATCTAACTTTGTAATTCACACAAAGATCTAACTTAGAAAATATTGACTTACTGTCATATTTTGATGCAAGATTGAGAGGAGCTTGTTTTCTAACTTTTGTAGCTTGGCATCATTCGTCCTTGCAAACAATTCGTCCAAGCTATTTCATGCCTCCTTCAGGGTTTTTACGCTCTTGATAGACTGTAACAATTGATCCTCTACAACAACAACAAGAACATAAAGAGCCTTACCGGCTTTGATGGTGTGGTGTTGTTGCCGCTAACAATTTCCCACAAATTTTGACCCAGCAATACTATATGCGGATACTCCAATTACTTAATTGTAGTTGTTGAAATTCTCGACTCTGCTTGCCAAACTTGAAAAGTCCACCATCGTGACTGGGTTGTAATGCCCCACATTAAACCAAGTAAGCATGGTCCTAGATCAACTGACTTCACAATCTCTGACTTGTGCACTAGCAGACCTCCGATGTACTTCGGTCCTTGATCGCCTACTCACATACAATGGTCCCTAACCACACTGTCTTCGGGTACCACGACTCTCGATCATTGGGTTTATGGTCTCCAACTACCTTACTCTGATATCACTTGTTGAGAATTTACAATTAACACTCTTAATATTATACGAACACTCAACACCACTCACACACTACTCGACACTTCTCTTTACATGTTTCTATTTTTGGGCGTTTACACAAATGGAGAAGGACCTTCATGCACCGACTCTCTAAGCAAATTATGTCTTACACAAGTAGAGAATTTTGCTTCTATTTTACGTGCTGAACAATCTACAACCACTTGCTCTAACTACCACTAAGTTAAGCTACACACCTCAAGGTCTAACTACCTCTTCAAGGTCTAACTACCTCTTCATATATTTTTCAGCCACTTATTATACTTCTGATGTAGAATGTTCAAGAAACGACAATAATCTAGAAAAATATAGGCTAATGAAGACAATTTTGGAAAAGGGAAGAGAGAAAGGCAGTGTTTATAAATATAGAATTGTATTGATCGTCGTACAATATTAAGGACTTTTTGAATAATATTTCCACACTACAACAGTCAAATCTATATGTGATTGCCGTCAAATCAGTGTGTGATTGTCAACTTCACCAGCTTGAGAATATCATCCATGGATGTATCAATATGATCAGATGTAGGAAGTCTATCCAGGATTGCCCAACCGAAAGATAAACCAAATTTAGGCACGTCAGGCAAGAACCAAATGAGCCGATGCCATTGAACTTGTTGCTCCGGTTCCTAATAGAAACTAGGGCAATTGCGGAAGTTCCGGGCCCGCCCTTCGAAGAATCTGTGCAAACTACTCTGTCGTTGGGAGAAGAGTTGGGGAAAAGAACATAGAAATAATCTCTTTTTGCAGGAGTAGTGCAAATAGTAATCTTACTTAGCATTATTTTATTCAGATTTTGTTGTACCGCATCACTAAGTTGGTTTAGAGAAGACGTTTCTTGATAATTAAGACATTGCATAAACAAATTCCAATTTCCAAGAAATAAATTAAAAGAGCCTCGTGTTCATCATCCTCTTGCGAATTCACGGAACTTTTCCAAGCTCGATTTCAACTCGAGTTTTTTTACTTGACCAAGCAAGGAAGACCAACAATAATATCATAGTAGATTCTTTTCGACAAGTGTCTGGGGCACTTGTTAAGCATTTTTTATGTAGAATAATTCAATTTTGAAAGTATCGATTGAGTGTGATATACACAAGAATAATTGGTGTATTGAAAATCCTAAAATTTCCTTTGTTGGTTTCTTAACACTCATTTAAGGCACTCGTTCATAAAATCCACAACTTTATTTGCGCCCTCTGGCCAGAGAGAGAAGAATAAAGGCTGCGTTTGGTCGACCGGATAAAAGCCAGGATAAGATATGTTTTATCCTATCCTGTGTTTGGTGGTGGTCCAGAATAGGATAAGGTCGGATATAGACCGGATAAAAAAATCCGAGGGGAGGGGTGAGATAGACCTGGATAGGATTTCTAATGACTATTTTTTCAGAAACCCTACGCTCCACTCGCCGTCATCTTCATCCTCACACCTTGTGCGCTTTCACCAAAAAAATTTCTCGGCTTTTTTTCCTTCACCGACTCCTCCGGACCCGTGAATAGCAAAAAAAAAAAAAATTATCCTATCCGACTTTAAATCCGTAGTCCACCAAACAATGGATAGGATATGAAGAAATCCCAAGATTTCTTATCCTATCCTATCCAGTCCTATCATGTTTAGAAATCCGGACTACCAAACGCAGCCAAAGGGATGAATGGGATGACTGAGAATGAAAAGAGAATGGAATAGTCGTTCCGAGGACCAAATCCATCAAGAAAATGACCCATGCAATGTTCCAAGGCAACTTTCACACGACAAAGAAACAATGCCACGTGCGGTCGTAATTGAACCGTAACCCTAAGAGACCCCCGTAAGCTATCCTAGATTCAATTTTCTATCAAGCATGTGTTTCATTCACTACCAAGAAAAGTACGTCATTGATTTAAACAAAATCATCCCGAGTCACGAATTAGCTCATTAATCTTTTGAGCTAGGAAAGAAATGGGCACAGGTCTCGGTCGAATGATCTAAATACAGAATTTCTATTGTTTGTGCTCGGTCATGTTCGGAACGCGATTCGAATTGTGGGGTCGTCAAAACTCGACAATAATAGTCTCGTGAGCTACGTGCCTATAAAAAATAAAGTGGAGGGATTGAATCAATCGAGAACATTCAATTTTGTTCTTTTCACCAACATGACGAAATTCCCAATCGTGAGGGACAAATAGACTCGTCACAAATTCAAAGTTGGCCACCACCTGATTAATTACGGGACCCAAATCACTTTCGCATGTCTCCTTCTAAGGCGTTTACTTTTCTTCAAGGGTCCAGTCGGGGTGGGTCCGATTGAATGGGGTGGAAGAGAGAGCTCCATATTCGAGTCTAGACGACATATTTCACTGTGTAACAAGCTCAAGTAATGATAGTTTGAAAAAATTTAAAAATAAGAACAATGGGAACTTCGCCGTAAATACAGGGTGCATTTGTTTTGTCGAAAACGAACGACTTGAAAAATATTTTTCTAAAATGATCGCTTGTGTAACTTGAAATAATTAGTCAATGAATAATATTATCGTTATTGATAATAATTTATGTCTAAAAATTTTCATTGACAATCAAAGTATTTTTCGTTCATTCATTTTTGTAAGCGATACAATACATTGTAGTCGATAACGATAACATTTTTCATTGATAAATTATTTCAAGTTATACAAGTATCGTTTTTAGGAAAATATTTTTCAAATCATTTATTTTCCGTAAAATAAACGTAGGCGAGGCTTCGAAAGATATATGGAGTAAAACATATCAAAGTCAACGGTAAGATTAGTAAAACTCTTTAAATGAGACTTAGGGCCCGTTTGCCAACATGCCAAATAGTAAAAATTTCTGTTATTTTGTTTCCAGAATCAGTTTGGGAATAGAAATCCGTTTGTTAAAATTTTTGTACCCGAACACAATTTTGCAAAAAATTGATCCCAAAATCAGTTTTGGAGCAGAATCAAGAAGCAAAAAAACGTAACTTCTTGATTCTGGAACAATTTTTCCGGAACTTATTCTTCTTGGTTTTCTTCTTTCTTTTTTATTTGTTCTTCATCCTCTTCCCGACCCACCACCGGCCTGCCGCCAGCGACCGGCCAGGGCCGGTGAGGGTGGCCCTCGCCACCCCTGGCGACGGCGAGGTCGGCCTCGCCAGATCTGGGCGAGGTCGAGCCTCGCTCGGCCATGGCGAGGCCGACCTCGCCGTCGCAGGGGGTGGCGACGGCAAGGTCGGCCTCGCCTTGGCCAGGGGAGGCTCGACCTCACCGTCGCGACCAGCGACGGCGGCGACGCCCTCGCCGGCCCTGGCCTCCGGCGCAGGCGACCGGCCATGGCCAAGGAAAAAAAAGAAAAAAAAGGAAAAAAGAAAAGAAAGAAATATTAAACAATTCAAAATATTATTAATAAAAAGAAATTTTGTGTAGTTACCAAACACATTTCTGTTCTTTTTCTATTCTATGAATAGAAATTTTTGGCAGTTACCAAACGCCTTCAAATGCTTAGAAATTATTTCCGGGCACAGAATAAAAAAGAATCATTTCTAACCAGAATCTATTCTCGGGCACAGAATAATTGCCATGCGCAGCCTTATCTCGCCGCTTCGTTTGACTTCAAATGATGGGAGCAATCGAATTTGAAACCTCTAACCTACTCTTGCTTCTCGAGCTATATGTGGCTACAAGTCAAAAGAAGAATTAAGTTCTCTCTCTATACATCTATATAGAGTCGAAGCTTTAACGATTTCCCGACAAGGTAACCGAACATCCATCCAGTTCTCTCCACGCAAGCACAAGCCATCCACTCAGTCATCATGCCCTCAAAGATCCCTCTCCATTTCCTTCTTCTCACCATCACGTCCTTCTTGTGCTTCTCCACGGGCCGTGTCCACGGCGAGGCCGCTCGTCCTTGTCCGATCAACGCCATATACCAGTTTGGAGACTCGACCTCCGACACCGGCAACCTCATCCGCATGGTGGGTCCCAACGACACCGGCTCCCAAGCTGCTCGTCTCCCATATGGCGAGACTCTCGGCAAGCCCACCGGTCGCTTCTCCGATGGCCGCCTCATAGTCGACTACTTTGGTACGGGACTAAAATAACCCAAAACCCTCCCAGGAAAATGAGTGCTATGTAAAACTATGATACTGATGATCACCAAGGGTTTAAAATGATCCTTTTTCTTTGGCAGCTATGGCGCTTGGCCTCCCTCTTGTGAATCCCTATTTGGGCAAAAATCTTTCCTTTGAGCATGGAGTCAACTTCGCCGTCGCCGGAAGCACCGTCCTCAACTCTTCATTCTACGCTGCAAGAAACGTCACCGTGCCGGCATCTGATGTTCCCTTACGCCTCCAGCTCAACTGGTTCAGAAACCATCTCAATTCAACCTGCGGGTCACAAATTGGTATGCCACAACTCTCCTTTTCATGTCTAGTGACTTTGCATAATATATGATCTATTATTTTATTACTGTATGACTGGTATTGTTGTGATTGTCATTGTGATTTTGACATGCGATTTTGTGTCAGAGTGTGGGAAGAAGTTGAAGAGATCTCTTGTGATTGTTGGGGAGATGGGAAGCAATGACTTCCTCTATTCTTTTCTCTACGGGAAATCTATTCTAGAAGTACTGACTTATGTGCCTCCCCTGGTTGAAGAAACCATAAATGTCACGAGGGTAAGATCGATTTAGAACACGGTGTTCTGTTTTTTTTCCCGTAACGACGAACACCCATCTTGAATGGATAAACCCCGAACTCCCGAAATACCCAATTAAACTCGTGAACTTTGTATTTTCTTTATTGATCTGCCTGTGCCTGGCATGATTTACCAAATATTTCCAGCGAAAGTGTCATAAACTCACTCCCCCTAATGTCTAATGAAATATATACATAGAACAGAACTAATAATTCGGTATAAATTCAGTTTAAGACTGGACCTCTCTTCTAAAGTGCAGGAGCTGATTAAACTGGGTGCCTCCAAAGTAGTGGTGTTCGGAGACTTTGCCATCGGATGCTCCCCAATATACCTGTCTATTTTCAAGAGCAATGATTCAAACGCATACGACGACAAAGGTTGCCTAAAAGCATACAACGCCTTTTCACAATTCCGCAACATTTACGTTCAAGTCGCACTTGCTAAGCTTAGACAGGAATTCCCTCGAGCCACCATACTCTATGGAGACTACTACAATGGCTATAAGTATGTGCTTGACCGAGCCTCTCATCTAGGTAAAGACATCCATGTTCACCGTTTTTGTTTCATCATGTACTGTCATAGACTTTATCGCTTTGGCTATGCTGTCAACCTCCCGTGCTAAAAAGGATGGGACGATTTCTTGCTCTACATTGTAGGATTCGACCCACAATCAGCTTTGAAAGCTTGTTGCGGAACTGGGGGATCATACAACTACAACTTCACCCAAACGTGTGGATCAACAGGTGTCACGGCTTGCCCCAATCCAAATGAGTTCATAAGCTGGGATGGTGTACATCTGACGCAGGAGGCGCATCGCCGTATTACAGAGTACAACATCAACAAAATCTTCCCGGAACTGTCTTGTGCCACATAGAGTCAAGGGCAACACCAGCTCACCCGTACATAATTAACTATTCATCTCAAATATAGTTCAAATCTCTTTTCCCTGTACTCGGAATAAAGGATGATCTACTCAAATAAAGCGGGAGCTGGTTGAATCATAAAGTACACAATAAACTACTTTTGCTAGTACAAATGTCGAGATGGCATCTTCCTTTCTGGAGACAGCTTTACTGATTTAGTATCTGGTAGCGGAACATTCTCTCAACATCTTCGCTATTTTTACATTACAAATCCTTGTGTACACTGAGGACAAAAATTCATCTAGACCTGCACTGATTCACATCAGGGAGAAGGGGAACATGAAAGAAAGAGGGTACATAGCAATGTTCTTCTAACTATTATAATGGACAGCTCACATTCGATGCGATAACAGTGTAACAGAACCATATGAAATTACATGACTTGTCCACTGGAAAAGATGTTACAGTGATGCTTTGTTTCTCTATCCACTCTCAGCATTCTCCATGGGAGCATCTAATAGGGGGAATGATCACTATTCTTTTGCAAACCACTTAATGCTGAACCACCGCATCTTTATTCCAATCCTTTGGAGGTTACCAACATCCGCAAAGTTTTCATGAATTTGGACTTTAGATGCAGAAGACAAATCTATTCTTTGACATAAACTTGCCATATGATGTGGGAGCCTCGGGCACCGCAATGCCCTTTCCAGCAACTTGCAATCTGTCACCTACTACTTTGAGTTTCTTTTGAAGGTCCACTGAGAACTAATGTCCACAGATACCATTCCAGAGGAGAAAATAACAGAAGAAACAGAGCTTTGTACCTCAAGAACGTTCTTGTCTCTCTTTTGGATACACTGTGTCGAAAACAATTCTTGCCAATGTACGACGAACCTCTTGCAAGCTCCCCGATGACAGGGAATCATAGTCAATTTTTAACTGTCTAGGCACAGTTCCCCTCTCCATGCCCCTTCTGACACAATCAAATATCCTGCACGCTTTCTGTAGCAAGGCCTCCGGAATAAAAACCTTAATTGAAAAACAGATGTTCAGTAATGCACACAAAACCACCGAAATGTGATGTTAAAGTGAGTATTAAAATGTCATTAGCAGGTTGAATTCAAATGAACATAAAATATACTGAGAATTTCAAGTTAGTTGATAAATATCAAAGAAAGATATAAACTGTTAGAATAGGACCCCTTGTATCGCAATAATTGAAATAGCACGAAGACTATAAAAAACTGATTAAGAGAGAAATCATACGAGATTTCATAAAAGATTACTTTTTCCCCAGATGGATTGGGCAAACCAAAGTGACAGCAATGAATAATCATCTCACCCCGTGCATCTATTTGTTTTACCTAAACTGGGAGACTATTGCAACAAGTATTATCAACACCCATGTCGCCCAACATATTGGGTTCTTACCAAATCAGTGCGAGGTGCTTGGGGGTACATGCTCATTGCTTGGGAAACATAACGTGCACAAGTGATCTTAAATAATACATCCTTGATTGATGCAGCAAGATCAATAACTTCATCCCTCATTGCAAGTTTTGAGTGAAGCACCGGAGATTCTCGAAGCTCCAGATAACTGGAGTCATGTGGTTGATTGATTCCTCTTGCTATTTCTATAGCTTCTAACAAAGAACCACCACTATGGAGAGCAAGGCTGAATGCAGCAACAACCAAAGGGTCCCGTGGTTTATCAACAAGAGCCTTATGAAATGCCAATATAGTTAACCTGCGACAGCAACACCACTAGTACATTGTAGGCAGCTCAAAATAATTCATTTTGGTGTCCAAGAGATCAAGCTAACTGGAAACAAATGTTATACATCACAAGAAAAAGAATGCAATGAAGTAGAAACACAAACGGTGATCTGGAAGCTCGCTTGTCAACTAGCACAATATCAGCTAAAGCGCATTCATATTAGAATCACCGAGTCATACTGTCCATGAATACGTGTGTTTGTGTGTGTGTGTGTGTGTGTGTGTGTGTGTGTGCGCGTGTGTGTATTAACAGGTGCTAAATCTCCTTTATCTTAAAAAGGAAGGTTTTCTCCTCAGAGCCAAAAGATTTGTGAAGAAACTCAAGCATTCATGCAGCGCAATAACGTTTAGGTCATGTTCACTGATGCAAGGACATACGATGATGATCAGCAGCTAAAATTGCCTAATTGAAGGTGCAAACAACAAGATCTCAAAGGAGCAGCTTCCGTGAGTCCTGAGCTCCATGCTACAAGTTCCACAAATATTAGACTGAATTGCTGGAAGATCTTACCATAAGCTACTATGACATGGCCGATCAGGTGCCACCACTTTATCAAGGCTGGCAAACAATGACTGCAACAGAGACAATGTGACAATGACTGAAATGAAAATGAGTATATATAAACTTTAATTACGAGACTATGTGATTTCCAAATACAAGATCTTTTCTTGTAGTTGACTGTTAGATTATAAGGATACTATATGACGAAACATCTAAAGCATGTTGGCCTGTGAAAAATAAAAGGGAACAGTGCAGACCCAGACTAACCAGGAGCAAGTTAGATCCTTTATCACGTCTCTTGAAACGTTGGGAAACAAAGTATGATGCCTGTATGATTTTGCTGATTAGAAAATCTTTACAAGGAGAGATGTGAAAAAGGATTCGTTCTTGAAGATTATCAAAACCTGGCGAAAGACTTCGTACTTGGAAGGGCAAAAGCAATTCTAGAAGTCCAAATCTCCATAGCAATCTCAAAGAAGCTTCCCCAGATCCAAATGACAACATATAATTCACCTCCATGAGAATTCTACCCTGGAGAAATGGATGCCAGAGAGCATGAGATTCAAGTAACAGTAGCTCAGCCATGGAAGACAAGAAACTGATATACCTTGTCGAGTCTCAATACAGAACGGGATAAGACCCTCAGAGAAAGAGCTATTTCTCTAGTGAAACGAAATCCCAAACGGGATGCGACTCTAAATGCACGTAAAATGCGAGCTGTAAATAGTGTTAAAGAAGTCAGATATCTCTCTTGAGGTTAAATTCGACAGCATAAAACTTACAACTTCCAAACCAGCTATTTGAACATCACAAAAGGATGAAGACTTACCACAGTCTTCCACAAATGAAAGATTTGCAGGTATTACTGTTCGCACCTACAAGCAAAGACTCCTTATGAGATCCACCAGTTGAGTGATTTTTAACATAAGTAATGCAGTTTAAAATAACTTTGGGCCATTTGCATACTTTAGCTTTCTTAATGTCCTCCATTCCCCCAACATAATCATATATTATCTTTGCATAGGGATCAAAGAATAATCTGCATAAAGAAAAAGATATCTTAGAAAAAATTCTTAGAAATTATTCTCACCAATAGAAGCGACATCATAGAGCATCTATATATACTGTCAAAGCAATAACATAATTGACTCCGAGTCAGATTCAAGCAACTAACCCATTGACCGTGAAATCCCGCTTTAGGCAATTCTTCCATCGCACATAATCCCGTTCACAGCAGCCAGGAGGTCTCTTGACATTGTTTCTGAGCCCCCCAAAAGAGTTCCTTCCAGAGGTGCTAAAGCTGGAAACCTATCCAGGAAAAATAATCAACAGAAAATGATGCATATAGTACTTCACTTTGCTAACAAAAGATGGTACAAAGAAAAGTTAACTTAGTATATGCAATGTACCAACCTCAATGACAGTTTCATCGACATGTACATGGCATATTGGAAATCGTCGGCCAATAACTTCACATCTTGAAAAGGTATTTCGTACCTAAGAAAGTTGAGGAATGAAGTTTAAATAACCACCTCAACATTTTTAGCAATTCAAATTACCATGAAATAACCAGACTAGTAATAATCGTCACTAGAAGTCAAGTCCTAAGCCTTTTCATTTGCACAAAGTACTTCAAAACCGTTTTAAAAAGTTCAAATGTGACCATTCCATAATTTTCATCCCCAATTTTCCCCACATGGAACTTCCCCAATTTTTCCAACGTGGCACCTATTACAGGATGCCATGCAAAAAAGTCAAGGTCATTGATGATGGGAGGTCTAAATTGCAAATTCTAAACAAGATTTATAACTACATTTTGGAAATTAAAAAGGTTTAAGACTCAACTACATCTCTAGCAAAAGGTTTAGGACTTCAGGCATAATTTTCCCTCTAAAATTTGCCCCTATTAATGAAGGAAAAACCAACGCCTCATCATGGCCACAAAGACATTTTCATCCTTAGGAAGGCTAAGCAGTCCCAACATTTTCCAGGTGGCTGGAATTTTAAGCAAAAGAATGAGAGGAAAATTGGTAGTTTAATTTTTACATAAAAACAGTAAGATTACTGACATTTTCCTCAATCACGCTCATAAGAAAGTAACTCCATCTGAGAAATCTAAGGTGCATAAATGAACATAGCATCTACTATTTGGATCCAATCCTCTGGCAAGACTTCGTAACAAACCTCAAAGCCTACGGATTGCCAAGCTACCAAAGTTGTACACCTACGGATCTAGATTATCTCTGAGTCATCCATTTGGATACCCTACAATAGATATATTAATGAATCCCATTAAGACATGCATTAATTTTCGGTCACTTTCACAACATAAATTAGAACTCAGTTATATCAATCAAAGAAATAGAACTAAGTTAGTTTAAACTTAAGGAAGATCACAACTTGTCCAGACTTAAAAGGTTAAGATTGTGTAGTGACTGGGTCGTGAAAAATTAACCTTGGTTGAAAATGTCTAAGAAGTAATTAAAAAAAGTTTGTGCTTGTTGCATGCTCAATACAGTTCGGACACTCTTTTTTTTTTTGAAAAAAAAACTTGGTCTGATGTCATAATTTTTGTCAATTTTGGAGTTTGTGTCAAAGGTTTTAATACTTTAAGCTAATCATGAGCACATTTAAAAACCATCCAACAAAATAATGTACTATCATCAAGTGAACCTTTGCCGATTAAGTGGCATAGCAGAAGACCCAGTCAATGTGGTTTGAGAAAATTAGGGACATGACCGAAAGAAGAACAAATATTAAAGATAGGGCGCCGCCGATATTACATAAGATTGGGAGGGTATGGCTCTTATCGTAAATTAATATCACAGCAAAGTAGACACGAATGGTGATTAGGCGAGTGTCCAACACTATATGCATTTTAATTTAGCATGACCGTGTTCGATCAATAGTTTCTAAAGTACAGCCTTTAGTATTATCACATTTCTTCCAGGCATACACAGCATCTCAGCTGCCAAGAGGTGCTTAATCAACCAATTATCCAAAAAAGAGTAACCTGTTTGAGCTCAGCTGAGGTTATAATGTCGAAGTCTTTTGGCGTTCTCTTCAATATAAGATCCCGCACGCAGCCTCCAACCAGATATACCTCATAACCTACAATAAAAAGTGAGATCATGTCCATGCACAAACCAATGCCCAATGTGCGACTTTCGCAATCAGGAAATACGCAAAATATATGCTGCCCTAGTCGAAATTGTACATTGCCTTGTCATCTTTTTCTATCAACACATCGTTTGCAGCATATGAAAAGATACCTTGATGCCAGCTAATTACATTACATCACCTTTAGCAACTAAAGCTACTTCGACTGACCAACATAGTATATTGCGCACGAAGTCGAAAACACCCCCACAAAGTCTTTACCTTTTTTCTTTAACGCATTCAGAACGACTCTCGTGGGCTTCGAAATCATCGAACTTCTGATGCCAAGCTCCACAGAACTCAGCTTCTTCCATCGAGGTGCCCGGCTGTCACCGTCTACAAAACAAAACAAACAGCATTCGATTACCACATAAGTACATAAAACTTCAACTTCACCAAAAGAAAAAAGGATTCCAACGAGCTCACACTGACCCTCTCCGATCAAACGACCAGCATTTTCCGTCCGCTTTTCCTCTACGAAGCCCGAGGATTCGACTCCAACGGCGCAGCTGCTGCTGCTGCTTCCCACCTGCGGACTCCCACAACCATCCTCTTGTCCTAACCATCGCCACGAAAAGGGCAGAGGAGAAGCTCAAGAGAGAGGTACCGACCTTGGAGATGCAGAAAACGAGGGGGCGATGACGGTAGAGCGAAACCCGCGAGAATGCGCACGAGAAGCCGAGGGCGGCAGCAGCGAGCGCCATCGATGAGTGCCGCGTGGGTGATTCACCATGTCATGGGCGTTGCAGTGGGGGTGGGGGGCGTTTCGCCGATCGGAAATCGGTGGCCCGGCACCGGAGAGCGCGGCGAGCGAGGGCGGAACTGCGAAGCGGCGGTGGCGGCTTTTCGGTAGGATTGAAAAACCGTGGAAATGTGCTGAGGATGAAGATGATCTTGCCGTGGATAATGTCAATGGGCCGAAATGGGCTTAAGCCGATGCCGGGGCTCTAGAATTGGGCTTTTTAGGGTCCAATGAGGAGCAATTTATTGGACAGCTTCGAGTAGACTCGTTAGACGTGTGTATCGGGTCAGGTCGAAGATGGTCCGGCCCAAATTGACACATTTGAACCTATTTTTCACACAATATAAATATAGTAACATATACCTGACTCGAACCATATTGTTAAAACATTTCTATATTTAACTAAATCTATAATAAATCGTACCAAAATTAAGGTGAGAGCATGGAGTGAACGAGCACGAGATCGAGTGTAGGCAAGAGAGTCATAGAGGTAAATTGGGTCTAAATAAGTTTGAACCGATTGAATAATACAATATTTTGAGATTTACTATTCTAAACTTATTTATAATCTGTTTACTGAATATAACTAACTCATATAACAACTCAATCCATCCAACATGAGTTAAGAAATAGGTCTATGACCTATTTTGATAAGTGTAAGTTCTAGCCAAATTAAAAGTAATTAATTATAAAATACACAAATAATGACACAAAATTCCAAGAAGTCTCAATTCATCGTTGATTTAATGGTTAATGAGAAACATCATAGTGTAAATATCGATATCGATGATGGATCAGATTGTTCGTGCGATATTCTCTTTGCACTAACTGTGTATGCTTTAATTTTCTCCCTAATTAATTGGGCGCAAAGTTCATTGCCTTCTTTGGTCTTTTGGTTTTTAAAACTTATTGGCATATTTGAGTGGTATAATCATAGCGTTCCAAAATGTATTTTGAGGACTATGTGACCCTACCAAATTTCTCACGAGAGTCACGAGACCCTTCAAAACGATTAGTAAAAGCACGAGGCATGAGTTTCAAATTACTCGCCCGTCGGTGAATATCACTTGAACCATCAGTGTAGCGTAATTTTATCTTGTTGGGCGATTATCTTCTGCCGTTCTTTAAGCGGCTGGCGATGTAGAACTATCTCATTACCAACGTGTGGCAACGGATTGTTGTTACTAGCAACATTATTAATCTCTTGTTGATTTCTCGTTCTTGCCATGCGATCTCCTCAAATTAACAAAAGAGTCACATTGGGCAATGCCAAAAAAAAGTTTCATAGAAAAAGTGAAAATCTAAAAATATGGATGAATTTGATGAATTTTAAGGAAAGCGATTTTTTTGTTGATTTTGGACAACAAAAGTGAATGACCGGACCTGAGTAGGTCCTTAAAAAGCTCAAGGGGAGACAGTAACTTCTTGGTATGATGGAGAGATCTCCCTATAAGTTTTCTTCGTATTCCTTCTCTCCCGAGAAGAAAAACAATGGGAGAGAACTTGGGGGCCTCTTAGGTGGAGAGGGTAAACTCCACGTCAGCTTCGGCTGACTATTTTCTAGGTAGGCTGGTATAGTAATCACTCGTGCCCGGGGATGGTAGAAGGGGAGTTTTGGCTCCTGCTGGTTGGCCTGTTCTTAGCATAGTGTCTTATAACCGACTTACCAACCAATACCCCAGTTACAAGACACTGTACCGCAAAGGAATTGACAATGCAAGTACTGAAAACTAAAGGTAGTGGGAAATGTAAAGGGTACGGGAAATTGAAATGCTGAAATGATGAATATGCAAACACTTTACAGATGAAAGTAACTATAAACGAACAAATGTTTTGTCTTTGCTTATGTGAGATAGCTACAACGAGTGCTTTTATATCCCAATGACAACATTTCTCATAATACAGTTGTGGATTCTAAATCGATGGGTAATTTCATAATACTATTGATATTTAGTTACACGTCACGAGGTTCTAGCCATGATTATGCACAAAAAACTTACGAAATTCGAGAATATCGCAACGGCCACTTAGCAATTACGTGTCCATGTCTATCCGTCGTCTCTATCCTCGATTGACACGCTAGCAAACTCTATCTTGTTCATAGATGGCAATATTTCAATATCTGAAAAATTTGTAACGACAGCTGTCGATTGCCTTGTCCGTGGTTAGCCGACCAGCCTTTTCAAGTAACTACAGGCCCAAAAGCGCTGCCTCGTCCTATCCAGGTTGGAAACAGCCGGGCCGGTACGCGTTTTGGTCCTTGCCCATTTTTCCTTGCACATCCCTAATGGCATCAAATTTAAGAAAAAACCATATCTTGATGGTTGGAGTGTCTCACAATATCTATAGATAGCATCTCAATTCCAAAAAAAAGAAAAAGAAAATTTCTATATCATCTAAAATCAATTTCTTACCAATTCTTTCCATATAAAAGGGAAAAGCACATAGGCAAATCTTCGTTGACCAGGAGCACCTGAGTCCCACCCTCAAGACTCGCTCAGACACACTCTCTCGCTCCCTCTCTCTCTCTCTCTCTCTCCCTCTCTCTCCAATGGCAGCTGAGCTACACTTGCTGGAGTCCCCGCTCGGCGACGACGACGCCTCCGCCGCCATAGCCGCGGCGCTGCCGGCAGCCGCCGCGGCCCCGTCTCCGCCGGCCGCCGCAGCCGCAGCAGCCGGCGCCGCCGCGGCCGCCCCGGCCCTCGCCCCATCGACAGCCGACAATCCCGGCGCGCCGCTCGCCCCCAAGCGCCAGCGCCGGCCCAGCGTCCGCCTCGGCGAGATCGGGGGCGAGCAGCCCGGCGCGGTCGCCCACGACTCGCACGTGCGGCGCCCCAAGCCCACGTCGTCGTGGAGGCTCCCCAAGGACGCTGGCAATCCGCAGTCCTCCAAATCAGTGAAGGCCCGCTCGCTGACGCACCTCGTCAACGGCGACGGTCAGTTTCACGACCTGGAGAACGCTAGCTCGGGCTTCGATTTCCCTAACAGGAAGGTGAAGGCGAGGCGCGGCGTGGCGGCGAAGCGCCCGAGATCGAGCTGGACGTCGTCGAAGCTGGACCACGTCGCGGACAACATCAGAGAGGAGGAAGAGGAGGAGATCAACGAGGGTTTCCGGGACTTCGGTGCCGCCGATTCCGGCTCCCCGACGAAGGAGCTCAGTCCGGCTTCCATCGACGATGCCGCGGCGCTCGACAACTGGCGGAGAAGGCCGAGCCGCGGCAAAGCCTCTCTGAGCCGCGACAATGGCGGAAACGAGTTCGACGCTGCACGAGAATCCGACTATAGGGACGGGAAAGGAGGAAGCAGCGACGGGGTCCGGAGTTGGCTGGTGGAATTGGGGCTTAGCCGGTACGCCCCAGTTTTCGAGATTCATGAGGTTGACGACGAGGTTTTGCCGATGCTGACGCTGGAGGATTTGAAGGATATGGGGATAAATGCTGTGGGATCGAGGAGGAAGATGTACGCTGCAATCCTGAAGCTTCGCAAGGGTTTCTCGTGATGTGAGTTGCTCTTTTGATGCAACCCAGTAGATAATGAGTGATAGCTTCTGTAACTGATAGCATTTGTCCTAGATGGTTTTGGGTTTGTCCTCCTGATTATGAATAAAGATGCAAATAAATGCTCTAACTTTGATCAAATCGTGGTGCCTACTTGAGCTGAATACATTTTGTTGATAAGTAAGAGCACAAACCACACAAGGTTGAAAAATTTGTGATTCATCTCACTGATCTTCATCACATTGGAAGAAGAATGTGCAGAAAAGTTGAGCAAGACATTTGACCGAAATCCAGTGGCATCCCAAGCTAGATATTGCTAATCGACGTCATTAGCTTTGTCAAAATGGACTATTTAACATTTCGCTGGTTTACTCAAAGCGTACTTTGAGATCGTATCTTGCTTGCCTCTCATATTGGCAAAGTTCTTCGATGTTCCAAATGTGTTGCAATCTTGCCTATGATGCGTTGATGCAGGTTTTTGTTGGCTGATGCTCTAATTAAGCCCTTCACCAGGCTGAAGATACTGTATATGCTTCACTCTCTCTGTCTCACAATACGACCTTTTAAAACGCTGCTGTTGTTTGCATACTTCACTTTCGGTATTGGGAGGGGATATCTCATAGTTTAGGGATTGGAGTCTGTGGTTTGTACATGTGTCCTCCTCAATATAGGGCCCATTTGAAGATAGGCAGTTTTTGAATGTGTGGATGCTCTGATATAAAGCCATTTTGCTCAAGAGAAATGAATGAGATATCTGTTGCTTTTAGCAAATATTGTAGTGAAATTTCTGACCAGACAATGGCTATTTTCAACCATGGAATTTAAGTTATGCTGTAGGAATGACAGGAATTCTCTTCTTTTCCACTGTCAATGATCTTGAGAGCAGAGCAGCAAAAGAGGAGGGCATAACCACATATGAGAGTTTATTGAGTTAGTGCTTCCAATTGATATTCGAACTTGATTTTCATGAAAATTTGGAGTTCTATTCATAAATTGTGCTACAACTTGATTAAAGAACCATGTTACTGTATACAAGATGCCTACAACACGTGTTTACTGTAAAAGGCATAATATATTACATTCTAGACTTAATTGTTCTTGTGGTCGCAATTTCACTGGATTCTAAACTAACAATCGACCAATTAAATTAGCTTTTCACCAATACAGCTAATTAAATATTGAGAAACATTTGCTTCAGTTGGGTGAATTGACCCTTCTGAAGCAAAATTGGCGCTACCACTGGTGAAAAATTAAACGATAAATGTGTGTCTCGAGCTTGTGATCGGATTAATGAATAGGTAATACATTTGTTACATATACGAACTCGACACAACGTTGGATGAGCAAGTCATCTCAAGGAAAGAAGAGAAAGGGGTCTGCAGCTAAATGTACGTCTCTTAGCCTATGGAAAGTCCTATTTGACCTGAGAAGTTCTTACTTATATCTATCCGGTGTTAGTCCTTTGGAACTGTTTTTGAAGAGTGGAATGGCACTAAAATGTGGTTCAAGCACTTGCACTCTTGTCAAGCACTTCAATGAGCACAATGAATATGGTTTTGCACATTGCTGGCATTTCTATTAATCATCTCAAATGCTAAGAAATTTTATCCACTATGCTTTAATCTTTTCACAAGGCCAGCATTTTTATCAATCTCAAAGAGTAAAAACATTGGTGCACAATGTTAATTGTAATTTGTTTTTTTTTTTGCTAAAACGTTAATTGTAATTTGTTATTGCCAGCATTGATGTGTTCTTCTCATATACAAAGAACTTTTCTCATCTAACACTTAACTCGAACCACATTGTCAATCATATAAAGGCCTTAGTTTCCTTTTGATTAGGAGCAAGTTCTTTGTGCTTTCTTTATAAAATCCCAGATTCTTAGTTGGGTTTGGTTAAGCATTAGGCCGCATATATATGGTGAAGTTAATGCTGGCTCAGCTCAGCGAAAGTTTCTGTGCCAGTAATGTTACTGAAACATGTCTAGCCTCTGCTTAAAGCTTATAACCTATAGAGAGGATAGGATCTAGCTGTTGAATGAACATAAACACATTGACTTAATTTCCACTAGAAAATGACTCTACAAGAATTAGGTTATGTGATTATCTGCAGAGTATTTTGATGAGGCTTGGTAAAATAAAGATTATGTATGATATCATTTTTTTTTTGCTTGTGATGACAATTAGCCTTGTAATGGATGTGACTGTAGGTTTCTTGTGGATGGTTATGATACAAGAGAGAAGTCTAGATAAAAGTTCTACAGTTTTGGTGTGAACGATAGTGAGGGTGAAAAAATGACAAAGGTATGACTTGCACATGTTACACTCTACGTAGAAAGGGAAATATAGTCAACGTTCATAGTTATTTTTGAAATATCTGCGTAGTGCTAGCTCAATACAAATTTATAATCTCCAAAATGTGTGGATGACAAGACCCATGATTTGATCCTTTAATTCTTGAATTTTTTTTTTCTATTGTCTAGTCTCAAATAGATTTGTTATTCTAAGAAAATATATTCAATTTGCTTAGATTCCCAAGAGACTAAGGACAGATGAGAAATGAATGTTCAAACTTTGGCTCGCTACTTTGTTTTCGGAACTGAGCAATGAACTTATTCTTTTGGGGTGCTTGGATACCTCTCTGAGGGCTTAGAAATGGATGATGAGTGTGGAAGCTTTTAATCACTACATAATGTTAGAATTGGGTAATGAACTTATCCTGTTGTGAACAGACTGGTGCTCTTATGTGTGTCCGAATGTCTGATAGGATGATTTTTTCTTGGTAAGCTTCCACCAGAGAATGTTTTTTTCTCACGGTAAGGCATTGGCTTGGAACTTAACATTTCAGTGAAAGAGTTTGCTTGAATTTCTGACATGCTGCATCAGTTTACTGCAAATGGCAAAAGGGAAGATATAGTTGATTGGAGTTCAGTCAAATGGGATCTGCTTGGTCAATTTGCTTATCATGTTCTATATTTGGGCAATTTGAACTCAGATAGGGATATCTCGCCTTGTGTTTGAAACTGAGTTTCTTGGTGAGTGCGATTGTGCTGTTGCATGTGTGATAGTGAAACTGAAGTAACAGTGATTAATTGTTCACCAGTGAGAGAGCTTATGTCCTTAACATATCATTTCCCCACTGGTATATATTAGAGTGGCTCCTGAGTTAATTAAGAAGATATTATGCCTGGGTAGCATCTTTCCATTAGTAAGGATCTAATGGACGTCAACCCATTTATGAGAATCATTTAAAAGCCATGTATAGTTCAGCATTTCTATCTTTTAAAGAACACTACTGTTAAAGCCAAACCTTGACTCATGCTATTTTAAGGAAAGAACTTGGACTTCATCATTACTAAAGCTCTTTTAGTTCTCTAGCCACTCAGTATCAGAAGTGTAGATGAAGTAAACAGGACATGGAATATACTTCTTGCTTTCAATTGCTTTTATATCATTCCAAACCTCAGGAATTTAACTCCAAGTCCTGGAATATGTTAAGACTAGTGACGCTGCACCCATTGAATGATTGGTAGTTACAGTATCTAGTGCCTGAATCTTAAGCATCTACTTGCAAGTTCCTTCTCTTTCTTTTAAGTTATAATAGGTCAAAATGTTAGCCACTGCCGGTTCCCCAATCAAATCCTATTTTTCCTTTTTTACCTCAGCTGAACAACGCCAGTGGACAGGGTTCATCAATATGAAGGCCTTTGAGCAGCGCCTCTCTCTCTCTCTCTCTCTCTCTCTCTCTCTCTCTCTCTGTCTCTCTCTCTGCCTCCTTGATCATAACTATATGAGGAATTTACAGATGATTTTCCTTTCTTTTACAGCCTCCCAAATTCGTTTCTTTTCGCACTCTTCCATGAGTTTAGCCTGCCTCTTTAACAGGTCAAGAAAGCTTGTTAACGATCGTACTCCTCCTGTCTTGAGCATGTCTTCCCAGCTTCTTCCAAGCAGTGAACCAGGTAATAGAAAGCTGATTGTGCAACATCCTCAGTCTTCCGGTTGATGCTTTGGTGGTCGCTTCGATCCTAAAGATTCAAGCATAGCTCTTCCTACCTGGCTTTCTACATTTCCAAGCACCTATGCTGTACTTTTGGATGGGAAGGGAGAAGAAATAGTTAGGTTTCTGAGTTCATATTTTTTAGCCAAGAAGCGCAAGTTTTCTTCCAACAGTTGTTTATTCATTGGATGATCTTGAGGTAGACACAAATACTTGTGGACATCGTGTATCTTCAGATTATCCAATGTTACAATGGAGATGATTACTTGAATTTTCAATAAACTGCCATTAGAGACGCTTGTTTTGGGAGATTTTAGACCTGTATAGTCATTTGCCCACACGGTAATTCTCTGACTAGTTCTCTTTTGCAACTCAAGAAAGTCCGTTGAATGAAACTCCATAGGTCACGGACTATGGAGCATGCCAGGTGAATTTGGCGATAGTTTATATGGCAGTGCTTCAGTTTTGTCTGTGCACCGGATCTAAATGAAAAGATAAATGATGTGCTTTCTTCCATTAAAGCAGTTGTTTGTGGGAAAATATATGAATTGCCTCCTCTGAATGAAACCTACGGGTCTATGGCAAAAGTTGCATGTCTGATTAGCAATTATACCGAAAGCTTGCTAGCATAACTCGTTATTGGTCTGCCTAAGGAGGAGCTGTTTTGAAGGATCACCTCCTGTTTTAGTCTGGATGTTAGATGTTGGTCACTGTTTCTGAATCAACTACCTGTTTCATTTCCGCAGATTAATAAACTATACATGCATGTTCATCTGGTTGCTCTTTAGATTAAGGAACATAGAAATGTCCGGCTCTTGCTTTCTCCCTTTTTAAGGTTCATCCTCATTACTGGGAGTCATCTTATGAAATCTGTTCTTTCTATGCTTCTTTATTGTTGTTTCTGAAGATATTCTTGAAAATTCGGGATCTTTATACCCTCCATGCAGTTGTGGCTGTTGAAATATGTCTCGAGTTTGAGCCCGATAGACGAAACCTGATCCGAGATTAATTATTATTTGTGGAGATTTGAATATTCCGAATTGAATATTTCTCGTTTTGCTTTGATGCAAAGAAAATAGAAAAGGAAAGTCCGAAATTTGGACTTCCTGTGCGAGTTCGGAATAGTGCAATGCAAATACGGA